CTCTCTGACTCTCCAGTGAAACGTAGAGACTTCAAGTCTCTTCTAAAGTTATTTGTTGAGCAGCAAAAAGGTTCAGGATGAAGGAATAATAAAAAAAGACGCGAGCAGCAGGTCTGCCTCAGCAGAGAGGGGAGGAGGGAGGGCTGCCTCAGAACCACTTATATTGGGTCAAGTCAGACAGAACCAACAAGAATGAAGCAAAAAGTCAAGAATTAGAGAAAAATTATAAAAGTTAAATTTAAATATATTCTAATTATAATAAATTAACAATACTTTTACATCTAAAAATAATATTTTATTATATTTTCCTCATTCAGCAACCTATTAAATTTCTGTTATGTTTCATGTAGAAGAAATACACATTTTTTTTCAGTCAGTATTTAATACAGCTGGCAAAGTAAATTGTTAAAATATGTATTATGTGCTTCTGTTTTTTTTAATTCAGGAGATTATAAAAAATCCTTCATTTTATGGGAAGACCCTCTTGATTCAAAGAAAACTCAGTTTTTTTAAATGGCTGCTTATTAATTGTTAATCAATCTATAAGATAAATCAACTTCAGATTAATTCGTTAATCAATAACTTGCATCCTTAAGGAGTTAACTTAATTTATATCTACTCATATTCATGTAGTTACCGGTAAGCGTTTTAATGATTTGGCCGATTAATCGAATAAATAATCAACAGATTAATCGATTCTTAAAATAATTGTTAGTTGCAGCCCTATTATACTTTCTCTCAAATATTATTTTGAGGTACTTTATACAGTACTGGGAATAGTAGTTCATTCTGGTGGTTTGCAGCTTTGTTATTGTGTATAAAAGAGTGTGGCAGTAAACCAGGAGGTGTTTACAGATTTATATCTAAAATAAAATAATTTCAACAGTGTTCTGCTGTGCAGAAGATCCCTGTTGTTGTCGACCACTCACATTATAACTCTGTAACGTACATGTCTTTTTATAGGTCTGTTCTACCATACCTCTGTGTGGTTGTATATGACTGTGTGTTCAGTTTATACACTATAAATATAAACGTATATGTGTAAAACTATGGTGGTACAGTTGGTAGAGCTGTAGCCTCTTACAGGTCACCTGATAAAATACCGGACAGGAAGCTTTATGGGTGGAGTTTCTCTCAGTTCATGTATTTGAAAAGATGTGTCAGTGAAACAGCAACCAGACCAGCTGAGGGGAGATGATGACTCTGGACCTTGGTTCTGTGTTTACAGAATGAGTTTGTGTCAGAGCTGTTTGAGACGCTGGTTCTGGAGGCAGAACTGAAGTTGACTATAAGTCGGCTTGCAGACTGGGCAGCTCCTCGGCCCGTAGAGAAGAACCTCCTCACTTTGACGGACGAGGCCTACGTCAAGCCCGAGCCCCTGGGACTGGTCCTCATCATTGGACCCTGGAACTACCCCTGGGCCCTCACTTTGCTGCCCCTGGTGGGAGCTATTGCAGCAGGTAGTGACGTGATTTTAATCCTGTTTCACATCAGTGAACATGTTAAAATAATGTGCAGCTGTACGTCCTGCAGTGCTGCTGTTAGCTGCTTGATTTGGTCCAAGCTTTGATATGATTTGTGTTCTTCCTCTTTCAGGTAATGCTGTCGTCATAAAGCCATCTGAGATTAGCCTGAATTCTTCTAATGTCATGGAGGAATATCTCCCTCAGTATATAGATAAGGTTAGCCTGCTTCATGGCTTTAAACGGATCCACGATTAGTTGTAACATTAGAGTTTATTTGATAAACATTTATTTTAACTGTAAAATAAAGACTGTAAAAATACTGTAGG